ATGCCGAGCAGGACTCCGGCTGCTGGAGCCAGATAAAGAAGATGGCAGATCTTTACACAGCAGAACACTGGGGGGCAGGAAGAGCTAAACCAGGGAGGAAAACAGACTTTAGCCAGTCCTTTACACACACAAAACAGCTACCCTGATAAATCCAAACACGTCACACATAACAGAGACAAATTAAAATCCTCCCTAATGAGATGATTGAAAATAAAATTGAGATTTCTATATCCTTTCTCCTTCGACTATAAAGCCTGAAAGGGAACCCAGGCAGTCCTTAGCTTGTCCTGAGGCCACTCGCACTGCTAAGGCACAGCGCAGTGGCCGAGACAGGACATGGGGTGCAGGGGTTGTATACAGGTGCGGGATGTCTTAACCACAGGGGCACAGGGGGCAGCTCTGGGCGCAGCAGGGGCAAGCAATGGCCCCCACTTCACTCTTTGCCTGGCAGGTGCAGACCCCCTTGGCCTGCAGAAGGCTTTGAATCCAGCTCTCCTATAAACTGGATTAATTCTTTAGCATCGGCATGTATATAGTACACTTGTATTTTTGCACGAGGGTAGCAAAGCTACTGGGTTTGGAGAGGAATAAATATGTACTGAATATCCACTAAACAAAACTTTAAAGATATCTAGAAAAAAAATGTTTGTCCGGATGATCCCAAACTTAGAATTGTAGAATCATAGAATCGTTTTGGTTGGAAAAGACCTTTAAGATCATCAAGTCCAAACATTATCCTAACACTACCAAGCCCACTGCTAAACCACGTCTCTCAGTACCACATCTATGTGTCTTTTGAACACCTCCAGGGATGGTGACTCCACCACCTCCCTGGGTAGCCTGTTCCAATGTTTGGCCACTCTTTCAGTAAAGAAATTTTTCCTAATATCCAATCTAAATCTCCCCTGGTGCAGCTTGAGGCCATTACCTCTTGTCCTGTCATTAGTTATTTGGGAGAAAAGACCAACACCAGCCTCACTACAACCTCCTTTTAGGTAGTCGTAGGGAGCGATAAGGTCTCCTCTCAGCCTCCTCTTCACTAGGTTAAACAATCCCAGTTCCCTCAGCCGCTCCTTATAAGACATGTTTTCCAGACCCCTCATCAACTTTATTGCCCTTCTCTGGACACATTCCAGGACCTCAACGTCTTTCCTACACCGTGGTGCCCAAAACTAGACTTGGTTGCTTCTGTTTCGACAGCAATAGCTAGAGGTATTTGTAAATAGATATGTAAAAGCAGTTTCATGTTCCTAGATAACATTATTGACGAGCAATAAGATTTTGAATTATTTAAGGAGAACTTCATTTCTAAGTTTGTCTGAGGTGCCACAGTCCTTCACAGACCAGGTTCTGTGTGTCTCTGTACCAGTTACCTACAGATCTCCTTATGTCCCTGGATTCTAACATTACGAGTAATTCAGTTGCTCTGCTGATAGACACTAAGGATCAAAGATCCTAATTTTTACAGTAAATATAATGCATTAGCTGTGGTGCCTTAGGCACATTTAATGGTAAACTCAGTGTTAGGAAAAGGAAAAAAAGCACTTTTGAATGGCCCTGGCTGCACAAATATAACACTGTCATTCAGTTTTCCAGATGATGAGGTTGGGTGGTTGTGAGCCTGCAAAATAAGCCTGTTCTATTGGCCATGAAACTGCTGGCAAGAGTGATGCTGGAGGTTAATCCACTAAATCTCAAGATTCTGACATGTCGTCCCTCGTTAGAGCTTGCTATCACCATAATAGAGATCACGAGACCAATCAGAGTCTAAATCCGTCTGTATGCTCCCTTGTGTCTTTTCTGGAAAAGAGGAAAAAAAAATCCTCCAAGTATGAACTCTCCTCCAGACAAGCCTTGAAGCAGTGGGTCTTACGGTGTTGAGTAGTGGA